CTGAGAAAGAAACGAGGGAAAAAAATTATAACGATTTTCATCTCTGCTAAAAGGAGTAGAGACTGGGAGGAAAAAAGGGTCCACAGCCCCTAAAGACGCCAAATGAAAACGAAACTATCCCCTAACGCGATTACAGAAAGTGGCGCTCGCCTTTTAAGAAAACGAGGGGGTGGAGGGGGCCTGTTACAGAACGCATTAAGAGGGAGATTCGAGGAGATGGATCGAGGGTGAGGAGTATCCTTTTGACCTGCCTTGGCCTCCAGCCCGAAAAGTTGCCAAAATCGTTCCCTTGGAAGCCGTCCAAGAACCCCTTTCGCGACTCGCTGCCTCACAAAGAGGGGGCAGTTTTTCCCGCGCTTTTTTAATGCACGTGAAAAAGGGAATGAATGTCCGCCCTCCAAGTGATTCCGATTCCATTGTCATCATGCACCAGTTAATGGGTTGAATGAAGTGGTTCTGTTTCTCTTTTTCTTTTTTCAGCGACGTTCGAATGAATGCGCTGCATCACATAAAATTCGAACACAATGCGCGAAAGGATGGAGCGAACATGCTTGAGTTCCGTTTCGGACCTAGAGAAACACGTGGTCAAGCTGTTCGTTTCCTCCTGACCACGATAGGTGGAAAAAGATCCGTTCAGGTCTCAGAAAACATCCGTTCGCGTTTTCACCCTCCGATCTGTCATTTGGATTTCTCCAACTCTGTTGCTCACGTGAGACTTTAATTTTTTATAACGAAATAATTTTAATCGATACTGAACTGAACTCAGTGGCACAACAGACCATGAGGGCCTATTTTAGTTTACGTGACCTTAGGCACTGGGATGCATATGTAGATGTTTCGGTCAAGTGGTCAGTCTGACGCAAAACCCCCAATGTTCAGTTCCCACTCAAGCTGGGTTCTTATTTATCAAATCACTGAAGTTATGAAAGGCTTGCTCATCCCGGAATTTGATTCCCGGACCTGTGGCAGGTAAGCGCGATGTACTACCACTCAACCATTCGGCTTCAATTAAAAGAAAGTGCACAAAAAACTCAGAAACGAGTCCCGGTACGATCAATAGAATTTATGGTGTGGTAGCCCTCTAACACCCATCCATGGTTCCTGTTTTGACCCTCAATGAGCGTTGCTAGGGCTTAAGAAGCTTCATAGATAAATATTCCCGTTTTTGAAATACTAGACCTACACACAGAGAGACTTGAAATTTGCTAAGGATGTTCCTTTCATGGAATAGATTCGCTACTAAAGGGGTTTTACGAAAGTTAACCTTCAAGGGGCGTTATAAATAAATATACCTTTCTGAACTATGAAACCTAAACACTAGGAATTTTGTAGGCATGTTCCTTTCATTAAGTAGAGATCCACTAATGGATTTTGTGAAAATTAACACCCAAGGGGCGTTACAGATAAATATTACTGTTTTCTAAATTATTAAGACCTACAGTCTTGAAATTTAGTAGGTGCGTTCCTGTTATAGAATACATACGTTACAAAATAGGTTTTATAAAAATCGACCCCAAGGAGTGTTGCGAGGTTTAAGGGGCATTCTAAAAAATATATAAGTGAGTTCATTAAAAAATTATTTTAC